TGCTGTGTGCTGGGATCTTTTTAAACGCTCCCTGTCTGATCTCCCAACAGCCAGTTACAAGGAAGAGGCCCAGGGGTCAGGCCCTACAGATCCTCCATAAATGTTTGTTGAATGACTGAATGAAATGCAGCACTCAGTTCATACACTCCGTCAGCATTGTGTGTCTGGCAGAAGGCCCGTCTGGCACCCACTGGCTGCTGGCTCAGAACTATGGGTTTCCACATCTGGCACTGCCAGGAGCAGGCCTGGGGGGAGGCAGTTCCTGTCTTCGAAGCCAGGGACAGGCCGGGGGCTGCCAGGCAGCAACTTTCTTCTGAGTAATTCCTCTCCGGCTCTGGTCCCGTGCTGCTGGCTGAGCTGGAACTTGGCCAGCTGGGCTCTCAGCCTGGCACAAGCAGCAGCCTCCATGGGGTACCATTGCAGCCCAAGTGGCCTTGTTTCTCCCTCTCGGGGCCTCAGTTTTTTAGCCTGTGGCTCCAGCTTCCTGCAGCTGTTAAAGGGCCCTCGTGTGCAGGGCGAGCCGGGTGTCACTACTGCGTGGAGGGCGAAGCTGCCCGGAAGTGCAGGCCGTGGCCCAGCAGCAGATGCAGCAGGGCCTTGAGTGAGTCACTTCCCTCTGCAGGTGGCAGCCCCTGTGTGCTCAGAGTGAGGAAGGTCTTGAAGCAGGGACCTTGCAGCAGAACTGAGGAAACAATGGCTGCTGTAATAGGCTTTTCAGTCACTCTTTTGCTTATCATTCGTTCTTTTTCATTAATATGTTTGCCCTGCATAATACATGCATTCTATCTATCTATCTATCTATCTATCTATCTATCTATCTATCTATCTTTATTTTATTTATTTTGCAGTACTAGAGATTGAACTCAGGGCCTTTGCATTAAGCTATATGCCCAGCCCCTAAAAAATTAAAAAAAAATTTTTTTTTAATTCTTGAAACCAGGTGTTACTAAGTTGCTAGGTTGTCAGGCTGGGCCCAAAATTGTGATCCTCCTGCCTTGGCCTCCCAGAGTACTGGGACTACAGGTGTGACCACCACGCCCGGCTCAGCTACTACTTTTTAACTCCATTTCTTCATCATTTGGTGAACAGTGTTGAACATTATTTAGTACTAGACTGGGACTGCCAGGTTTAGCAAAAACAGGGTCAATAACAAAAACCCCAGTTAAATTTGAATTTCAGATAAACAACAGATACTCTTTAGCATAAGTCTATCCCAAGTCCTATTAGCATAAGTCTATCCCATGCTACCCTGTGGCAGCTCCCATTCGCTTCTCTCTGGGCCCTGGGAAGCTTGGAGAAGCAATAGCCCGCCCACCGCCCCTTGGCTGGGGGTCCCAGCTGAGGGCTGGGGGCCTTGGCCACTAGGAGGGGACCTTGGGCAGAGCCCCGGGGACTTGAGCTGGCTGGCATCTCTACCTATTTCCTGCAGGGGAGGTTCAGGAACACAGGGCCATCCCAGCCACAGCTGCCTGGCTTTTCTCTCTGCCCAGGCACTCACCTGCTGGGGAAAGTCCCCCTGGTCACCAGGTTAGAGGCTGGCATAGCCAAGATGTGGTGAGGGCGAGGGGCAAGGCAGAATCCCCAGCTGCGTGGGTAGAGGGGATGCAAAGCAGAGGGAGACAGTTGGAGCAGCCACATGGCTTCCTGCCTGCCCTGAGCTCCTGTCAAGCAGACAGCCAGGCGTGGTGACACCTGTAATCCAGCACTGGGAGGGCCGAGGCAGGAGGATCACCGTGAATTCAAGAGCTTGTCTCTCCCGAGCGCCACCTTTCTGCAGAGAGCATTTGCTCCATCACTTGCTCACACACCTGTGCTTCCACTTCTGTTCTCAACTCCCAGACATCTCTCAAGCATCTGCCGTGTGCTGGGACTGCTCTAGGCGTGGGCTTGAGGGACACAGGCAGACGAACAGCCTGGCTCCTGTGGAGCTAATGTCTGCTGGGAGTGACACACAACAGACATGCAGGAAAATAATTTGGGGTGGGAAAAGCACTGAGATGGAAATAAAGCAGGGGAAGGTGACAGAGGACTGTGGGGTGGAGGCTGGGGCAGGGCCATCTTGCTGGGGCTCTCTGAGATGTCTGAGCAGAGACCCAAGGGGTGAGAAGGAACTGGTCCTAGGAACTGGTGGGGAAAGTGCTCCTGGCAATAAGTGCAAAGGTCCTGGGGTGGAGCGAGCAGGCACCTGCTGGTGAAGGAGACACTAGGACAAGGGCTGGGGAGTGAGGTGGATGCATCACACAGGGCCACGCAGGGCCCGAGGAGAGGGCTCGCCCTGCTCCGCCCTGGCTTCCCTTGGAGCCTACATCACTTCCTCTCAGAAGCCTTCCCTGGTGACCCTGCTAAGTGGTGGGCTTCACCTCTCAGCTCTCTGGCTGCGCCACCCTCTCCTCCCCAAAAGTACAGCCAGCGGCCGAGCTCTCAAATCACGGTCCACTCCCACAAGAACAGAAAGGTGGCCTCGAGGAGCGGAGGCAGGCAGCAGAGAGCTGGGTTTGGGGACCATAGCTCTGAGGCCGAAGCCGCTCGCTGGCCTGGGACCTGAGCCCTGAGGCTGCAGGGCTCCTGGAGAGGAGGCCATGGTCATAGTTCCAGCGGCTGCTCCCTGTTGGCTGGGCACTGCGCTGGGCACTTTCCGATGTGGGAAAACACATTTAGCCGCCCACATCAGCCAGTTCAGTGTGTGCCACTCGGTATGTTCACAGCACTGTGCAACCAACACTACTGTCTAGTTCCAAATGTTTCCTTCCCTCCGTGAGGATCCGGTCCCCATACTCCACCCCCTAACCCAGCAGCCACTCCCACTTCCCCTCGCTGTGCATCTGTCTCTCCACTTGTTTTGTGCCTATGGACTCTTGCAGTGAGTGGCCCTGGGGCCTGGCTTCCTTCTTGTGGCAGAACGTATGCAGCATTTTGGTGCCTGGCTTTTGTTTGTTTCTTGAGTCAGGGTCTAAGTTGCCACTGGCCTCAAACTCAAAATCCTTCTGCCTCAGCCTCCTGAGTAGCTGGGATTACAGGCATGTACCATCATGCCTGGCTGCTTGTATTTTTGTTTTGTTTTGTTTTTTAATTGCTGGAAAATATACCATTTCAGCTGGGCATGGCCTTGCATACTCGTAATCCCAGAATTCTGGGAGTCTGAGACAGGAGGATCACAAATTCAAGTCCAGCCTGGGCAACTAAGCAACTTAGCAAGACCCTGTCTCAAGAAAAAAAATAAATAAATAAAGAGCTGGGAATGTAGCTCAGTGTGAAGGCCCATTTGGGTGTTTTCTACTTTCTGACTATTTTGAAAAGTGCTATTATAAACATGTGTGTACGAGTTTTTGTTTGAACATCTGTTTTCAGTTCTTTGGGATGGATACCTCAGGCTGGAATTGCTGGGTAGGAGGATAATTCTGTGTTTGATTTATGAGGGACTGTCCTCTGAACACTTCTAAAGCAGCCACGGTCCTGTGGGACTTCTTACCATAAGCTAACGAGGGACAGTCTCTGTTGTCCCATTTTGCAGATGAGGAAACTGAGGCTCATAAAATGGAAGTTTTTTGTTTTGGTTTGGTTTGGTTTTTGAGACAGTCTCACAGTTCAGGCTGGCCTTGAACTCTCTATGTAGTCTAGGCTGGCCTCAAATTCATGGCCAAAGCTCCTGCCTTGGCCACTTGAGTGCTGTGATTACAGGCGTGCACAGAATAGGGTTCATGAGCCATGGTCCCGCTTCTGAGAAGTGATGACTTTGGGTCTATTAGGTTCCAAAGCACTGAGATCCAAGTCAAAAAGAGACAAGGAAAGAGAAGAGAGAGAAGGAGAAGAGACAGGAAGAGTGAGGGTGTCAGAGTCTAAGCTCAGCCTCTCAAGTGCTATCTACAGAGGAAGTGAGGACCCACCTGCGGTCGGATCCCAGCCCCTCTTCTGCCCCTTCCGGGCTGTGTGACACTGGGCAGGCAGGTTTGCCTCTCTGGGCCTTCACTGGTGGTTGTGAGGATGAAGCAAGCAGGCTGCCCTGCACCATCATTTCGATGTGATTTCCTTCTGACACCAGGGGAAGAGATCCCCCAACCCTGAAATTCTGTGCTCTTGGTCTGGCGGGGGTGGGGCGGGGGAGAAGGGAGACAGGGATCCCCAGAGCCTCCTTTCTAGCAATGTTTGGGGACCCTGGACCAGCAGGCAGGGGGAGGGGCTTCCACCACACAAATTCCACATCCATGTGCAGCTGAATGTTCAGATCAGAGAACAGTGCAATTTTCTAAAACTGCCTGGCCACCACCTCTCAGAGGAGAAGGCAGCTGGGGCTGGCAACTCCCCAGAGTCGAGTTGAACTGCCCTCCTGTAATCCCAGCCCTCGGAGGCTGAGGCAGAGGGACCACAAGTTCAAGCCCAGCCTGGGCAGTTTAGTAACTTATCATAACCCTGTCTCAAAATTTTTTTTAAAAAGGGAGTGCTGGGGCTGTAGTTCAGCCTTGGGTTCATTTGCCAGTACCTACAAAAACAAAAACAAAAGCTAAGATTTGCTGTACCGTGTTACACGGACAGTAGAGAATAAAGTCTCCCCTGGGTATGTAACTCTGGCAGGGGACAGGGTGAGCAGGAGTTGCACAGGTTAGCTGTCAGCAGTCGAGGGCCAGGGTCCCCAGGCCTCTCTGTCTAGGCTTGGTACACACTGGGCAGGGACTCTGTGTCCCCTTGCCAGGTGCCAGGCAGCAAGCTGAGGCACACATGTGCCGCAAAACCACGTGGAGGCTGCACAGTGTGAAAACCGAGGCACGGGGTATGGGCTTGCTGCAGGAGGGACGGCTGAGAGGTGGCTGAGCTGGGGCTGGGACCACATGGCCAAGTCCAGAGGGATCCCACGCGCTAAGCAAGGACGTCCAGTGTTGGCAGGGTTCACGACCTTGTCTGGCCAATGACGCAGGCTGGCTCGGGTGGGCAGGGCCTCACGTGCCCGGAAGTGCGCTGTGCCTGGACTCGAGCTTGGCAGGCTCTTCCCAGGAGTGCGTGGGGCCAGGGGCTGCAGGGGTGTTAAGATCCTGGGCGGATCTGTGGCTTGGCCTCCTTCTGCCTGGGGTACTTGGGAGGCGTATGGTCTGTTTACACCGGCGAGGACTCAGCCCCAGCCTGGCGCGGCCACGGCCAGCACCCAGGGTGTCAGCTCTGCTGGGTGACAAACGTCCGCCTCCCTGAGCCTCTGTCGGCCCCCTGGAAAATGGGGCTGCTCCCGCCCACGGTGGGGAGGCCGCGTGGGAGCTGTGCTGTGTGAGCGAGAGTCCGGCCGGAGGTCAGGCTCGAGGCCAAGGCTGGCCCAGCCCGGCTGCCAGGACACAGTGGGGAGGGAGCCCGAGGCAGCTCCTGAGTCACGGTTTCCCGGTGCTGCCAGGCCAGGCGGGAAAGAGGCGGTGGGCAGAGCCGGAAGTCGGGAGCTGGGGAGTCCCGGAAAACAGAGACCACGGTTGTAGATTTCTCGGACAGAATGGACAGAAAACCACCTGTCAGAGGAGAAGGGTCCCTACGGTGTCAGGGTGTGGCCACTGTGGCCTCTGAGTCATGGGCAGCGGACTCAATCTCTGCGAACTCTCCTCTTTCTTTCTTTCTTTCTTTTTCTTTCTTTCTTTCTTTCTTTCTTTCTCTCTCTCTCTCTCTCTCTCTTTCCTTCCTTCCTTCCTTCTTTCTTTCCTTCTCTCTCTTACCCCTCCATCCCTCCGTCCCTCCCTCCCTCCCTCCTTTCTTTCTTTCTTTCTTTTTTTCTTTCCTTCTTTCTGCCTTGGAGACAGGGTCTTGCTATGTAGCCCAGGGCTGGCCTTGAATTTGTGCTGATCCTCCTGCCTCAGCCTCCTGAGTGCTGGGATTTCAGGCGTGTGGCACCACACCCTGAAGCTCTCGTGAGCTGTTGTCACCCAGGGAGACAGCATGGTGAGTTTATAGCATGACCCTGTGAGGAGGTCAACAGGGAAGAGTTGGGATGGAGGAAGCAGCTTCCATTGTGTTGCAAGGGTGAGGGGTGAGGAAAGGGTTCTTAGGAATTAATGCCAGGGGAAGAGCTGAAGGAAGTAAAGGAGGGAGCTAGTCAAGCATCTGCAGAGCACCACAGGCAGAGGGCAGGGCAAGTGCAAAGGCCCTGAGGCAGGGATAGGACTGGCATATGGAGAGCAGCCAGGAGGCTGGTGTGGCTGGAACAGAGTGGACATGGCAGGAGCTGAGATCAGCATGGGGTGGGTAGGCAGAGGGTACAGGCACGAGGAGGATTTGGTTTTTTCTCTGACACACGTGCGAGCCCCTGGAAGGCCGTGAGCAGAGGGGAGTAGTGAGGCACAGTCAGATCTCAGGGAGATTTGGGGAGAATCGACCTGTGGCAGCGTGGGGCTAAGGTGGGGGCTAAAGACAGAGAGGCACCAGGGTCTGGATTGGGACCAGGACCCCCAGACCTCTGGCTTCTGCCTCGTAGGTGCCCGGGTGCCCAAGGCCAGGCCAGTGCCACCCCTCACCGGCCAGCCTTCCCCAAGAGTGCTCTGTGGGTTTCTTGTTTGCTTGTCGTTTTGCTACCCTGGAGATTAACCCAGGGCCTTCACCCTGAGCTACATCCCCAGCCCTTTTTAAGTATTTTATTTTGAGATAAGATCTCACTAAGCTGCCCAGGCTGGACTCAAACTTTTGATCCTCCTGCCTCAGCCTCACAGGTGCTGGGATTCCAAGCCTGGGCCACCACGCCTGGTCAGGAGGGCTTCCGGGTGAGGCGTCCCCCAGGCCCCTGACTTCCCTCGCTCCCTCCTCACCCTTAGCCCAGCCAGCACGATGCTCAGGCCCAGGAGGTGCGGGTCACCAGGTGATGGTGAGACAGGAACAGCCGGAGCCTCCGGCAGGGAGCACAGCCTGCCCAGGGTGCCCAGCACACCCCCAGGCTGCGTGGCTCAGCCCTGATGGCCACGTCTCCCACCCCCGACGTGCCAGGTCGTGGGATCCTGGTGGAGCCTGGCGGTGACTCAGAGGAATCGCCCCAGACAGGACCCGGCTGGGTGTTCAGACCAGAAACCACCACTTGACGGCTCCGTGGAGCTCAGGCCGGACAGCTTGGCTGTGTTGTTCAGGTTGTCGTGGTGAATCAGCCTCTCTGTTTTATTGTTTCCATTCTGTCATGTGTTCCAGTGTGTTCTGGTGCCTTCCCCTCCTTTCGGTTCTATTGTGTCTCTGTATCCGCTCATCGAATGTTTACTGAGCATCTACTCTGTGACAGGCAGTGTTCTCGATGCTGGTGTCACAACTTTGGATAAAGCACCAAAAGGTGATGAGAGCCCCGGACAGCAGCTGCAAAAAGTTGGTAGCACAGAGCTGAATGGGGAGGGGGCAGATTCTTTTCACAGAGGGAAGAGAAGGCTCAGGAAGGGCCTCACCAGAAGGTGACATTCAAGCAGGAGCCTGAAGGGGTGCCGGAGGAGGCTTGGAGGTGCCTGGGTCTCAGGAAGGGTGGTCCTGGCAGAGGTACAGCAAGTGCAAAGGCCCTGAGGCTGGAATTGCCTGGTAGGTTCAGGGAATGGCAGGGAGGCCAGTGTGGCTGGAGCAGGTAACCAGGAGGGAGCGGGGCTCATGAGGTGGGAAAATACTTCACCTGTGCATTTTGGGCAGTTTAAGGATTTGCAAGAATATTGTGTCTTTCCAGCAGCTAACTCGCCACTGAGATGTGTCTCTTGCCCACTGGACTTCGGGCCCCCTTCCAGAGCTGGGCCACAGCAACAGGGCCTGGGCTGCTCCATTCACTCCTCCATTGTTTTATTCCAGCATTCATCTGCCTCGCCCACATTTACAGAGCTGGGGCCGTGGGGAAGAGCAGACGCTGTCGCTGCCTGAGTGAGCCGCCGAAGCCCAAAGGGGAGGCTGGACGAGACCCTGGGTGAACATCCCGAAAGGCTGGCCACTCTGCGCCACAGGGTACGGGGGCCTGGCAGGGTCGATCCTGTTTGTCAGCTTCATGGGCGGGAGCGGGGCCCAGGAGATTAGTAAAGCACACTTGGGGTGTGTCTGGGTGGGGTATGGGGGGTGAGCTTGGGGACTGTATCAGGTCCCTGGCCCTTCCTCTCAGACTCTTCCCCTGCTTCCCAGATGGTATGGGGTGAGCAGCTGACCTTGGCCAGGCCCTTCCTCCATGATGTTCCCACCTGGAGCCGGACGGCATGGTTGGAGACCTCTGAATCCGTGCACCGAAATGAGCCTTTTCCTCTTGAAGCTGTGGATGTCAGATTCTTTGTCCTAGTAATAGACAACCCGGGCCCACCCCTTTTCTGAACCTTTTCAGGAATTAGTTTCTTCACTCTCCCTGTGCCCATTTCACAGGGGGACACTGAGGCACAGGGAAGTAAACAGCAGCTGGCAGAGCCAGCTTCACTCCTGGGTGGTTGGTTCTGGCCCCCCTTCTCTGTGTGCTGCCTGCGGTGCCTGTCAAGTGTGGAGAGGGGTTTATTGCTCAGTTTTTCCTGCTGTTGAATGTAAAATGTTGTCACGATGAATCATTGCAGGCACGGTGTGTCACTGATTTGGGCCATTTGTGCCTCTGGGTTGGTGGGTGCCTGTGTGTGCCGCGTGTTGTGTCTGGGGCCTGCCCTGTTGTGGGTGTGGCCTTGCTGTCAGGCCCCGGATGTATGCGTGCCTTGAGTGCTGGGTCTGCTACATGTCTAGGGGATGATGTCTGGGTCCACAGGGGTGCAGTGAGTGTCTGTGCTCCTGCGATGTGACAAGGTGACAAGTTTGGGGTTCCTGTAGGTGGATGGCATGGGCAGGATCCACCCTGCAGACACCCCCAGCATCCCCAGAGACCCCAGCGGACCTGCACCCTCTTCTGACGCCAGGGCTGGGAGTGAGGTTGAGCCTGCCTCAAGAGGAGGCTGAGCCTGGGGCTACGTGTCCCCTCCACGTCCTCCCAGCAGCTGGGGCAGCAGGAGGCATCAGGGCAGGGAGTGGGACTATGCTCACTACCTTCTTGCCGCTGAGTGTGCCCAGAACACACACATAAAAAAAAAAGTAGAACACACACGTGGGGAGAGATGTGTGTGTTTAAGGGTGGACACACGTGGACAAGATGGACTCAGGCCCGTAGGGACAGACACACGTGTGCAGAGACACGTGCGTGTGCACAGGCAGACTGAGCAGAGATGGATGACAACGTGACATCCTCTGTGGCCCCAGCATCGGCCACACACCCATGCGCACACACACTGATGCACACGAGTGTGCAGAGCCTGCTCCATGCACACAGGAAGTCCCAAGCAGAGTGCGTCAGCAATCACACGGGGGCTGGCTCAGCGCTTGCCCAGCAGTGAAAGGCTCTGGGTTCGATCCCCAGCACCCCTACAAGTGATGCTAGTGCTAACACAAACACTGTGTGTGCAGGGAGCCAGGGCAGGGTCGTAGGAGCCTCACACCTCTGTGCCTCAGTTCCACATCCCTTCTAGGGATGGTGGGGAGCAGCACCCAAGCACTGGCGTTGAGTCCCACAGGAAAGAGACTTTCTCACTGTGTGGCCAGCCTAGGCCTGTTTTATGAATGAGAAAACTGGGCCCGAGAAGGTAAGGCCCTTGGCCATGTCCATGTAGCCAGGCAATGGCAGCTCCAAGATTCAAGTCCCTGAAATGTTTTGGGCACCCACAGACACACATGTGCATGTGAAATATGTTGTTCAGCCTGCGGGGCAGCCCAGGAGGGGCTGGGGTTGTGGGTGCACTGCAGGCAGCACCTGGGGGACAAAGGCCAGGGCTGTCAGCAGGGCCTGGAGAGGCCAGAGGGGATGTCCCCTCCAGGCAGGGGCAGAGCTCGGCCTCAGGACCCTCTCTACTCTGAGGCCTTCCTGAAATTCCTCCCTAAAATTCCACTGCTCCTTGTGGCTTCCTTTTTCCCCCTCAGCACTGGGCCTTGTGCATGTGAGCAAGTGCTCTACACTGAGCTGCATCCCTGCCTGATTGATTGATTGATTGATTGATTGACTGGCTGTCTCGCTAAGTTGCCCAGCCTGGCCTCGAACTCAGACTCTCCTGCCTCAGCCTCCTGCGTAGCTGGGATCACAGTTGTGCTCCACCACTCCCAGCCCATTTGCTATTCTTTCTCTTCCTTTAAGTAAGGGCAGGCGGCTCCACGCCTGGCAGGCACCTGGGTCCATGGAGGGTGTGGACTGTGGCGGAGTGGCAGCAGGCTGTGGCTGCGGGGAGTCTGCACTTGGCTGGAAAGCTCATGGCAAGGATGCCGTGTCAGGCCCAGGGGGGGCAGCGTGGCTCCTGTGTCCTCCGTGGGTCTCTGCTTGTCGGCGGAGGTCCAAGGCTGGGCGCCCAGGAGAAGTCCTCAGGCCTCTCTGTTCCAGGGAGGACTCACATAGCACAGAGCTGCCCAGAGACCGCCCAGGGGACAGCAGGGGAGGAAGTCCCGGCCCCAAGCTGTTCCCCACCCTGCCCAGCTCCTGCCTACAGCGTACCCAGCCTGAGATGGCGCCTGCTCCAGCCTGCAGCTCTGGGCACCAAGAATGGAGCGGTGCAGGGCAGAGCCTTCCTGAGTCCCAGAAGGAGGCCACTCACTCCCCGGATGGGGTCGCCGTGGGGGCTCCCTGAGGATCAGGGCCCCCGGACTCAAGTCAGATCCCGGAGGGCAGTGGCCAGGTCATCTCGGTCACTTCTGTGTCCCCGGCTGCCAGAGCAGAGCCTGGTGTACAGTAGGTGCTCAATGAAGACTTGTGACCTGAAAGAACAGGAGCAGTTTTGGAGAGCTCCTGTCCTCTGCTCAGAATGGGAATACCCCGTGAGGTGGGAGCTGTGACCAGCTCCCATTTTACATTTGAGGGAACCCAGAGAGGTTGAGTGCTTTGCTCAAGGCCACACAGCCAGCCAGGGACAACTGCCTTTCAACCCAAGCCAGCCTGCCAAGCATGGTGCATGTCACTTCTTGAGGGATTCAACGTCGGTCTCTCCCACAGGTGGCTGGGCTGGTTTTGGTCCCTGTTCATGTATTTTGACCTGGCACATCATAGGTGCTGAGTAATAATTTGTTAAGTGAATTATAAAAGCCCCGATGAGTTACTTTTCTGGGAGCCATTTCTTCATCAGCACATTGGACGTACTGTAAACACAGATCTCCCAGGGTTTTCAACAATGAAAAGAAAGCAGGGGGAGAGGTTGTGGCTGGGCAGAAAGAGCTGGAGTCCCCCAGGGCTTGTTCAACCTGCCTTTCCAGCTGTGTGACCACAGACAGGTGTCTTGCCCTCTCTGAACCTGTTTCTTCATCTGTGCGGTGTGGTAGTTTGGATGCTGGGAATCTAGGTTCTGCAGGCCTCTAGGTGGGCAGTGGAGGCCCCAGAGCTCCCCACCCCGGAGGGAACAGGTGCCCCTGGACCACCTGCCTAGCAGGCAGGCGGAGGGCCAGGCTCTCTGGGCTCCGAGTTTCCTCGCTGGGGCTGCACAGGTCTTTGCTCACAGGCGTCAGCTATGGGCTGGGCAGTGCCCTGGGGAGACCAGAACTATGAATCTTGAGTGCAGATGGAGAGGAGGGGAGCGGGCCCAGCCCATTTCAGCAAAGGCTGAAGTGACAGCAGCTCCCCAAGAAGAGGCAAGTTGGAGCAGCAGGAAAAACACACAAACGGGTTTGACTTCTGCTTGCTGTGTGACCTTGAGCAAGTGCCCTGCCCTCTCTGTTTCTGGACCTCTATTGTCTCAGCGAGAAAGCGGGATGAGCATGGCGGCTGCCTCCAGAGCCGCCCCAGCAGGTGCTGGTTTGTGGACCCCCAGGTGCTGCCTCCGAGTCACAGAGATCACAGCAGGCAGCTGGGTGGGAAGAGGGCCCCCCTTGAGTCTGAGGACAGAAACTCCTCAGGAGAAAATGCATGAGAGAATCCCAGACAGCAACGCAGTGCGGAGGAATTACAGTTATCTTGGAGCAGTGATGGCGAAGCTTTTAGGGCTTTCAGTGATACAAACAGCCTGCTGCCACACACAAGTCAAGTTCCCCACCACTGCCCTGGAGGGTGACAGGCTGGGGGTCGGGGTGTGCTGTGTGTGGAGGGGACTCCGGGCTTCCCCACAGCAAGGGCAAAGGCCCTGGGGTGGGACCAAGCTTTTGTTTGCGTTGGGAGGCCTGGCTGAGCCTCTACCTGCCCCAGGAGGGGTCTGGCCTGAGGGGACCAGGCCCTGGGGCAGGCCCTCCAGGGACCGCTAATATCCTGAGTGCGGGTGACAAGACACAGTCCCGGGTGGTGGGGTGGGGCGAGCTCTCCATAAGCAGTCACAGCTCGTAAAGCATCAAAGCCGAAGGCCTGGCCCAGACCCGGCACTTCCTGCAGAGCTGGGAGGTGTCAGCAGGCCTCTCAGCACAGCCTGCCCTGGAGGTCTCAGTGCTGCAAGGGGTAAGTCCTTGAGCCTGGCTGGGCCTCAGTTTCCCCACCTGTCTTGCAAGTGGGCACCCTGGATGCCTGCTTCATGCCACGTCTCCTGCAAGAGCTCGGCCTGACCGCAGGTCTGGGGGCTCCAGCGCACTCCGGCGTCTGTGTGACTCCGGTGGTGGCACCCGCCTGGCCCCATGTCCGAGTCTGGATCCGGGAACCCACTTGAGCAGCTTCAGGCTGTGAATTCTACCCCTGATTTAGAGTCACTGTGAGTGAGCTGGTCAGGCGTCAGGGGAGACTTGCTGCTGAGCTTTGGCTTCTGGGACCAAGACAAGCAGGGAGAGGCCCAGAGGTGTGAGACTTGCAGGTGGGAAATCTGTGTCCTGCTCCGCCCAAGGCCAGGTGAGGCCACTTTCCCTGAACTCTGGGGCCTGGGGGTCCCACCAGCTCTCTCGGAAGCTCTTCCCTCAGCTGCTGCTTGGGGAGATTTGGGGGCCCAGAATTCACCTCAGTCTGCCCCCTGCCCAACTCTACCCTCCTTGTCCACCTGGGCATGGGGCTCCTCCTCCCGGATCTGTTCCCAGCCCCCCATGGCTTCTCCTCATCTGGAAAACCCAAGCCCCCCACCCAAGACCCCAGGCCTGGCGGGGGGCCAAGACGTCCCCTCACTCAGACTGTCTCACGGCTTTCTGTTTTGTTTCCAGCCAAATTCCCAGTTCCTGAGACAGTGGGTGCTTATGGAGGGCGTGAAGGGGCCCTGGCAGCTCTCCCCTGGGAGGCCGGTGCAATTGCCTGCCCCTGTATGAAGGGGAAATCAAGGCTGAGCTGGGGAGGAGGGGCAGCACTTTGCCCCAGATCTCAGGCAGCTGAGGCAGGAGAGTCTCGGCCTTGAAATAATGTCCGCGGCAGCTGAGACAGCTTGTGTGCACCTATTATGTGCTGAGCACCGTTCTGGGTGCTGGAATAGTTGGTGAAGCCAAGCAGCCAGGCACCTAGCCTAGGGGGTGCTGTACAGAAGACAAAATCCTCTGAGGGGCCCCTGTGGAGGGGACTCATGCTCTCCATGGTGCACCTGAGGAAACTGAGGTCAGGGAATTAGGCCACTGGTCTTCAGCATTAGCAGCACCACAGAGGCCCCAAATTACAGGCTCT